ACTTCCCTCCACCCTTCCAAGCAGGATGTCCTCCAACCAGTCTCTCCTGGCCACCTGCCCGAAGTATGGGACCTTCAAAATCCTATCCTCCAAAAAGAAACATGGTTTCATCCTCTCCCAAGACAGACCTATCTGTTTTCTTGGCAGTCCGTGGTATGTTAAAGACTCTTCTCCAGCACCACCAAAGGCATCGATTCTTTTTTTACTTTAAAAAAAAAAAACCCAACCAAAGGAAAAACACCTTTTTTTTTTTTCTTCTCTTTTCTTCTGTAGCATCAAGTCGAATCCAACAGGCACAGGAGGAGATTGCCTCTCCTTCTCCCGTGGAGCATCTGTTGGATCTGAACCACGTGCCTTAGGAATTGCAGCACAGTTTCTTGTCACTAGGCTCCAGAGCTCCCTTAGCATCAATTCTTCTGTCATCCCTAGTCATTGTCTAATTCTCTGAAGCATAACAAGTAAATGCAAATACCATGGTCTGTATTAGGCACACCTTAGTCTTTAGACTGTTCTCACTGCTTTTCAGCACTCTGGAGAGGTCCCTGACTGCTGGTAAGAGTGCTGATTGTGGAGCTGAGCAAGCTGTATTTGTTAACAACCTCTTCTCTAACATCCAGCTGTCAACTGGCTCAGTTGTGAGAATCTTTGTCTTCTTGATGTTAAGCTTCAATCCATATTGAAGACTCTAGTCCTTGACCTTCTGCAGCATGCACTTTAGGTCCTTTTCAGTTTCAGTAAGCAAGGTTGTGTCATCTCTGTAACCTAAGCTGTTGATGAGTGGACCTCCAATCCTGATGCCACATTCCTTGTAAAGCTCTGCTTCCAAATGATCTGTTCTGCATATAGATTGACAAGGTATGGAGACAGGATGCATCTCTGATGCACTCCTTTCCTGATTTTGAACCCTGTAGCGTTTCCCTTCTCTGTTCTGAGGACTGCTTCCTGGTCCAAGTATAGATGTCATATAAGCACGGTCAAGTTCTGGGATTCCCATTTTACTCAAGTTTAGCCACAGTTTGTTGTGATCCACACAGTCAAATTCCTTTGCATAGTCAGTGAAACACAGATGTTTCTCTGGAACTCTGCTTTCTACCAAGATCCATCTGAAATTGGCAGTAATGTCTCTAGTGCCATGACCTCTTCTAAACTCAGCTTGTATTTCTAGTAGTTCTCTGTTAATGTACTGTTCCAGTTGATTCTGGATGATCTTCAGCAGGATTTTGCTAGTGTGTGAAATTAATGATGATGTTGATTGTCTTCAAGTCAAGCATGACCCATTGCAACCTTATGAACAAAAGGCCTAAACCTCTTTACAACTATCAACATTCATCATAGTTCATAGAGTTTCTGGAGACATATTGTTTAATTTCCACACTATGTCAGATCACCTTTTTTTTGTAGAATGGGAATAAATATGGATCTCTTCCGTCAGTTGGCCAAGTAATTGTCCTCCAGATTTCTTCTCTTTCAGTATAATACACAGTTTATGGGGCTAATCTGTTAAAATTTGTCTTTATAGTTTGACAAGGGAGCTCTGGTGAGAAGTTTGAATCCTTGTTTATCTAATAATGATAATAAAGCATTAACATTCAACATAGTGTTCATTATGAGCACTTGACACTTGTAATTGACAACAACCTTTTGAGGTTACTAACTTGCAATAAGGAAATTGAGGCTGGAGAAGTAACTTGCTTAAGGTTCTTATACTAGGTAGACTTTTCCTTTAATCAATCCTTTTAAATTTTTATTTTACTCTATCCTTCCGTTTAGCTTGTTGTTGTGTACCTTTGAGCAGGAACTGGCCCATAGCTGACCCTCCAGTGAATTTTCAGAGGCAATTAATTACACGGGAAGAGATTATCCGTCCTTCTCCTGTAAGAGCAGCTGGTGGTTTTGAACCATATGCATAAGTTATGTACTTAAGATGGTGGAAAATCTATAGTAAATACATAACGATTTTCAAGAGTACTTTTGAGACTAAAGTATTTTATCCTAAGAACTAATCTTAGACATTGATCACCTCCCTATCCTTCATACCACCTTGTTGCTTTTGAGTTTATTACAATTCATAGTGACCCTCCATTGAGTTGCCAAGTCTGTAAATCTTTGTTTTATTATTTTTCTATTCTCACCACTGGACCAATTGGCAGATTCAGCATGGATGGTGAAGAGATTGAGATAGTTAACAGTTTTAGTTTACTTGGTTCCACAGTCAACATTCTTGGTCACAGCAGCCAAAATCAAGAGACAAATTGCATTGGGAAAGTCAGCTGTGAGGGACTTCTCAAGAGCAACAATGTCAGGCTGGAGACTAAGGTGCTCCTGATTCAGGCTGTAGTCTTCACAGTTACATGCTATGCATCGGAGAGTGGACAGTGAATAGGGATGATAGAAAGAGAATTGATGCCTTTGAGCTGTGGTGCTAGAGAAGAATGTTGACTATACCATGGACTGCTAGGAGAACAAACAGGTTTGTCTTGGAGAGGGTGAAGCTGGAATGCTCCTTGGAGTCAAGGATTCTGAAGCTTCATACTGTGGGTATGTTGCAAAGAGTGACCAGTCCTTGGAGAGGGACATCATGTTTGGGAGAGTTGCAGGACAGCTCAGGAGGGAAAGACCCTTGATGAGATGTATCGATTCTGTGCTTGGAGTGGTGGGAAGGAGTGTGTCTGACATGGCGAGGTTGGCACAGGATAGAATGGCATTTAGGGCTCTTGTACAGAGGGTGGCTATGAGTTGCAAGCGACTCGATGGCACATAACAACACAACAACATTTGTTGTACATTTTCTCCCATCTCCCTCACCAGCCCAGCCCACAATGCACCTCTTGTTCTAGATTGTTGTCATACATATAATGCATATTTATATATTCCTTTAAAACTGGTCTTCCCCTAATTTGTTCTATTACAGTGTTCATTTATCCACTCTTACCTCATTGTCTCCCCAACCCCCTCAGTCTGTCCTATTTTATAACAGCACTGATGTGCAGTATTTATCCTTTTGTGATATTGCACTTAGCAAAAATGTCCTCAGGGCACCCCCATGCTGTGTAATGTTTTATGAGATCATTTTTTTCATGCTGTTTGAGCCATTGTGTGAACGTACCATCGTTTTTCTATCCATTTGTTGATTGGCACTTGGGAGGAGACCACCCATCTTCCTCAAATGGAGTGACTGGTGGATTTGAAATGAGATATTTTCAGTTAGCCTTACACCTCCAGGGTCCTTTAGCTTTCATTAGTAAGATGTAATTTCATTATATGAAAAATGTAAAATGTTTTCACACACGTACACACGAATACAAAGGAAATTTGTAATTTTATCGTCCAAATACTAGCAGCCACCTACTCTGCAATTGAGTAAGTTGAAGACAAATTATAGACCAAAATTATTCCTCAGGGAGCTCTTGTGGCTTAGTGCCAAGAAGCTGCACTGCAGTCCCAAAGGCTTGCAGTTCTAATCTGCCGGATGCTCTGCTGGAGAAGGAGGGGTAATCTTCTCCTCTGCTGGTCAGATCTGATTTGATGGCACACAGCAAGAAAAAGGAATTAAAAAAAAAAGTTATTCCTCTTTACTAGAAAGCTAACAACTGCATCTATTAACAATCAATTGATAAGATAATGGTTTAATGTCTAAAGAGGGAGAAACATGACACTGGGGTCAAGGCCATGAGCATCACTCTGAAAAGGCCAGGGAGATTAAGAATATTACATCCCCTCATCACCCCAGAGCAGAAAGCAGATAGCCCAGCCCCATTGTGCCCCTGGAGCCACAGCAGCAGCAAGGGGGTTCATTTATTTGTTGCTGACTCAGAGACTTCAAAGTTATGGTACCAAACAATGGGGTTATTGGAGAAGAAAGTTGCAGAGTTGAGAAGACAAACAATACCAACCAGTGCAATAAATTTTAGCCCAACAGTCCCACTGCAAAAGTTCCTCAATTATTCCAGGCTCTGATTTCAGTTTAGCAGTCAAATAAAAATCATCCAGCAAGGTTGCCTCAGAACAGTTCTTAGTCAGCGTCTCCTTTAAGCATCCGGCAAGAACAGTTGCACATTTAACTGGGACCAGCACAAATGTAAGAAACCTCAGGTCACAGTTTCTCCGTAGCAGTATCAGTCTCTCCACCACCAGGTCTTGCTCTCACCAATTTTTTACTGCCACAGACCTTGCTTCCCTTGAGTCTCGCCTCAAGTTTTGCTTCCTGGTATGGGAAGTTCATTTTCCTATATCCTAGTTTCACAACTGTTGATGATTTGCAAGACCATGCTGATTTGCAGTACCCTGTGTTTGCAGTTAAGGTAGCTGAAGACCAGAGGCTAAATGGCTTTTAAAAAAAGCCAACTTTTAGGCTAACACCACAATTAATCTAGCATTAGTGCAAGACTTTTCCCCCTTGCCTCTTTAAACATCCTTCTCCCCAATTTGGATATTTCAGAATATTGTTATTCTCAATTCCTATTCGTGAAGTCCTGTATATAGTGGAATGAAATGTTGCCTGATTCTGTGCCACCTTCATGACTAAGTTTGAGTACACTGTTATGGGTTGTCATTATATCAGTCCATCTCATTGAGTTTCCCTTTTTCTCACCAACATGGTGTTGTAGCCTGGAGAGTAAGGAGTTGTGCTGCCAACCCAAAAGGAGGAAGTTCAAATCCACCAACTCCTCCACTTGAGAAAATGAGCAATTACAGCCTCTGAACACCTACTGGAAAGTCAGTTATGGATCAGCTCTGATTTGAGGACAATGAATTTGAGTTTTTTAGGTGCTACCAAATATGTTGTCCTTTTATAACTATTGATCTTTCTTACTAATGTGTCTAGATTTGGCTAACTTTCCAACTGAATTTTTTTTCCCCTTTTAAGTCGTACTGACTGTCCAGATTTTGTAGATAAAATTAGTTGATTTTCAGTGGGTTCTAACATTTAACATTTGTATTTATTATTAGTGATTTCATAAATTTATATTCTGTATTTATTGTTATTTTTTTCCCTATAGTATAGCTGAAATACAGAAAGATGTGGAATATAGATTACCATTTACTGTAAACAACCTGACGATTAACATCAATATGTGAGTAGTTTCTTCTTATTTTGTCTTGTAATAGGAGTTTTAAAGAAAATCTTTATTATTTTTCTTAGTTATTATGAGAAATAAGTTGTTTAAAGTGAATATTTTAAATTATCACTTTTTAGCAACTAGAATTTAAGCAATGTTAACTTACATAATATTGTAAAAGAAGTATTTTTGCAAGATACTATAATTTAATTTTTGTAAAAAAAGTACCAAAGAATAAGTACAAGGAAAGCAAAATAATTTCTGCTATAATTACTTTAACTGATTTGCACTAAAATGTTAGTTGGGGGCAGGCTGAAGAATCAGAATGATTATAATAACTATGCAGAAGGATCCTGCATGGAGAGATACTCATTTTTATATAAGAAACATCTTAAAATATCCTCATTTTCAACCACAGAAATGTTCTGCATCATCCTAAACATTCAGTGCCAAATTTGATCTGCTGATTGTTTTTAAGGAAAAAAAAATTAAAAATATAATCATGAGAGTAGTACTTTTAAATTACATTAGAGAAAGATTAGGCAAAATCATTTCTGTAAGACTCATTTAACCTTAAATGTAATTATTAATCTTCCATTTGAAAGAATGAAATTGTTATCTCAGATTGGTTTAGTGGCTGACTGCTAGAGATAGTTCTTGGAATGGGAAAATGCCACCTAACTTGAAGATAGGACCCATGTCTTATGATGGGCCTTGTCAAATACTAATTGAAGCGATGAATTGAAGTATAACTGTGCCAAGTATACATTACGTTAATTTGACATATGGGGCTTTTGAAATCCAGACAACATCTCAGCAAATTTAGGGCCATTGATAAACACATAATATAGTTAGTAGCACATTCAGGGTACAAACCCAGATAAGTTGGGCTCCAAAGACAATCATTATCTTTTAACCAAATGAGTTTAACATCTTCAGTTATATAACCAAAGTTGTTTTCTCTCTTATTAAATGTTCCAGATAAAGCTGTTTTAATACCAGAAGAATGTCTACTTATGCTTTTTTGACTATGCAAAAGCAGTTGACTGTGTAAGTCATAACAATTTATGGCTAACATTGAGCAGAATGGAAATCCCAGAGCACTTCATCATGCTCATGTGAAATCTATACCCAGCCCAGAAGGCTGTGCGAACAGAGCAAGGGAATACTACATGTTCTATAATTAAGAAGGGAGTGTGTCAGGGTTGTATTCTTTCTTCATACCTATTCAGTCTGTATGCTGAGCAAATTATTCGAGAAGCTGGACTCTGAAGCGAACTGTGGCATCAAGATTGGAGGGAGACTTATCAGTAACCTGCGCTATGCAGATGACACAACCTTCTTTGCTGACAGTGTGGAGGATTTGAAACACTTGTTGCAGAAGATCAAAGAATACAGCCTTCAGTAGGAATTGTATCTCAATGTCAAGAAAACAAAGATTTTTACCACTGGACCTATAGGCAACATCATGATAGATGGAGAAAAGATTGAAACTGTCAACAGCTTCATCTTACTTTGATCCACAATTAGCACCCTTGGTACCATCAGTCAGGAAATGAAGAGACGTATTGCTCTGGGAAAGTAAGTGACCTTCCCAAATTATTGAGGAGTAATGATGTCAGTTTGAGGACTAAGGTGTGTCTGATTCAGGCCATCGTCTTTCTGCTCACTTAAAATACATCTTAGAACTGGATAATGAATAGGTATGACAGAAGAATTGATGCCTTTGAGCTGTGGTGTTGGAGAAGAGCACTGAACATCCCATGGAATGTCAAAAGAACAAATATGTCTTGGAGAGAGTGCAGAGACTCCAGGATGCTCTTTGGAGGCAAAGATGATGAGACTGCCCCTCACATACTTCAGGCATGTTGCTAGAAGGAGCTATTTCTTGGAGACACGATGCTCAGAAAGTTAATAGTGTTAGCAAAGGACAGGAAGACCCTCAACTAGGTGGATTGACAACAGTGACTGCTGCAATGGGTTCTCATGTGTCAGGAAGGAAGTGTGAGGATGATACAGGATTGAACAGGGTTCAGATCTGTTGTTCAGAGGGTTGCTATGGTTCATACATGACTCAGTGACATCTAACAACAACAAAGCTGGGAGTAGGAGAGGTTAATGAAGACCTTGTTTTTTCCTTCCTGACAATTCTGCCAACAAATAATTTTTTCTAAGTTTAAGGGAAATACTTTTCTAGAAGAGATTTTGAAAACAACGTCTTAAATTCCTTATTCATTTTTTAAGGCTTCACGAGTGGTGTAGTCTTTAAGGGGTTGCACTGCTAACCCAAAGATAGTATCTCTGGCATTTTGAATCCACCAGCAGCTCTGCCAAAGAAAGATGGGCAGTCTCCTCCCATGCGATCCACGGTCTTGGAGAAGCTGCTGGTGGCTTAGCTACAAATCTGTTCTGAATTGGTGATTGTGAGTTGAGTTTGAGAAGTGACCTTAATCTTGTAGCAGTTAAAATATTACTTACTTTTTGTCCTGAGACTTTACTGTTGTTTACTTAAAATCGTATAACTGTTCTCAAAATTAGGAGAGATGTTAATTAGAAAGTTCAGAAGGAAGCCATGTGGAACCAAGGTTTGCTGGCAGCTGTGATGTTTCAGTAATATTCTTTTTCATTTTATCCACCTTACATGTTAGAAATAGTTTGTAAAAAATAGTTTCTGGCAACATTTTAAAAGTGGAAAACTCACAAGGTTTTATATGACCAGAGCCTGTCATCCAATATATAGCCATACTGGGTTGATCAGATTCACCTGACAGAAATGCCTGATGTAGCATTAGCTGAGTTTTGTAAAACTTAATATCTTGTGTTTGAAGACAATAATTGAAGTGCAAAATATTATACATTTAGGATTTCTCTAAGATTTCTATAACCTCATTAAATAGGTTTTATTTTATGAATTTATATAGTCTCAGTGCTAAAGTATACCTTTTTGTGTACTTGCAACCAATTCAGCATTCATTGTAGAGTACTTTTATTAATAATTAGTGTGTGAAAATTTGATATGCCTTTAATTTTGCTTTGAAATTATCTTTGCCCAATGTAACATTTATGGTCTTTGTTTTTCTTCTTCCTACTAGATTACTTCCTCCTCAATTTCCTCAAGAAAAACCAGTGATCAGTGTCTATCCACCAATACGACATCACTTAATGGATAAACAAGGAGTGTATGTTACCTGTCCATTAGTAAACAATGTATGTGTATGATATAAGTTATTTCAGAGCAATATGGCATTTAAACTACATTTCTACAATATATCTTAAAAATCTGGCATTCTTAAAATTGTAACTAGGAATCAGTAATGAAGAAATCAGAAAGTCATTACAAAGACAAAAGAGGAAGAAAAAGATTGAGGTGAATGTCAAGAGATTCTGAATATTGCACTTGAGTGCTGAGAAGCCAAAGCAAAGGGAATCACAGAGAAGTTAAAAGGACAGCTCAGAAGGACACAGCAAAGTAATAAGATGAAATATGCAAAGAACTGGAGTCAGAAAATCAAAGGAGAAAAAGTCACTCGGTATATCTCAAGCTGAAGGAACTGAAGAACAAATTCAAACTTCAAGTTGCAGTACTTAGAGATGCTATGGACAAAATATTGAATGATCCAGGAAACATCAAAAGAAAATAGAAGGAATATACGGAGTCACTGTACAAAAAACAATTGGCTGACACAGAAACATTTCAGGGATTAGTATATGATCAAGAACCATTGGTAGTAAAAGAGGAAGTCCAAGCTGATCTGCAGGAATTGGAAAAAAATATAACCCAGGAATTGATGGCATACCAATTGACTTATTTGAACAAATACAGCTTTGGATGTGCTCACTAGGTTGTACCAAGAAATCTGGAGGACAGCTACCTGACCCACTGACTGGAAGAGATCCATAATAATCTCATTCATAAAAAAGGTGATCCTTCAGAAGGTGAAAATCATCAAACAGTATCATTAATATCAAATGGAAGCAAAGTCTTGGTAAAGATTATCCAAAAATGACTACAACAATGTGTCAACAGAAAACTGCCAGAAATGCCACCAGAGTTTAGAAGAGGCCGTGGCACTAGGGATATATTCCCTGTATCAGATGGGTCTTGGCTGAAAACAGAGAGTACCAGAAAAATATCTATTTTGTGTTTTGACTATGCACAAGCATCTGACTTTGTGGATCACAACAAACTGTGCCTGACATTGAAATGAATGGGAATCCCAGAATCCTTGATTATGCTCATGTGAAACCTATACCTAGACCAGAAAGCTGTTGTCTGAACAAAGCAAAGGAAAACTGCATAGTTCAAAATCAAGAAAGGAGTCTTATCAGGGATGTATCCTTTCTTTATATCTTTTCAGTCTGTATGCAGACTAGATGATTTGGGAGGCTAGACTTCATGAAGAAAAATGTGGCTTCATATGATTATTCATATACATTGTTTTTTATACAATTAATCACAATTGACCTATATCTACTATTACCCTGTCTTTCCAGGTCCCCATTTTATCATATGAAACACAATCTGCATGAAGGAATGGGTGAAACGTAGTTGATATTAATTTTGTATGCAAACCAATAAAAAATAATGTATGCAAAAAAAAAATAATGTGACATTAGGATTGAAGGAAGACTTTAAAAAAAAAACACATTATGCAACTTGCTCAATGAAACCAAGGAGAACTTAAAGTGTTTTATTCAGACAATCAAGGACTATAACCTTTAATACAGATTGTGTCTTAACATCAAGAAAACAGATCTTTACCACTGGGCCAATAGGTAGTATCATGATAGTTGGAGAAAAGACTGAGATTGTTTTTTTTTTTTTTTTTTTAAGACTGAGATTGTTAATAGTTTGATCTTGCTTGGATCCACTATCAATATTCTTGGCATCAATAGTCAAGAAATCAAAAGATGAGTTGCTGTCAGGAACCTCTCCAGCGTGCTGATGAACAAAATGTCAGAGACCAAGATGCGATGGTCTTCTCAATTGCTTGTTCTGCATTTGGAAGCTGGACAAAGACCAAGGGTGAAAGGAGGAGAATTATGCCTTTGAATTGTGACACTGGAGAAGAATATTGAATATACCATGGACTTCTGAGAGAACAAATAGGTCTGTCCTAGCGAGGGTGAAACCAGGTTGCCCCTAGAGGCAAGAATTTTGAAACTTCATCACACGGCTTTGGGCATATTTCCGGGAAGGAACAGTACTTGGAGAAGGACATCATGTTTGGGAGGGTAGAGGGTTACTGTAGGATTGGAAGACCCTGGTGACTATCGCCGTGGGGGCAGGTGTGTCAAAGATGATGAGGTTGGCTCAGGATATTTTAGGGTTCAGATCTTTTGTTCGTGGAGTCGCTGTGACTCATACTCAACACCACCTAACAACAAAATTCTTATTTAAAGACTTCATTAGTGATAACCTGTTGATGCTATAACTTTTAAAGTTCTTGGGTTATGTATATGTTTGATTAAGTTGAAGTCTATAACTTCAGTGTACTTTCAGTGTTTATCCTTGCTCTTATAAATAATGAAATGTAGAACTAATGTCAGATCTGTTATTGACTAGATCAACTTCTAATTAGATTTACTAAATATTAAATAAAACATTGATTCTGTGAAAAAGGTTTTAAATTATGGATTGCCTGTATTTTTAATTCACACAATACCTTTGCTTTTTATTTCATTCTTGATCTATAAAAGTGGAAAACTTTTGGCATCGTCTAAATGAAATTTTACTGTCTTTTTCTGAAAGTTAATTTAATTGTCCTATATTATTTTTACTTTCAGTTTACAATGCACTCAGATCTTGGAAAAATTATTCAGAGTCTGTTGGATGAATTTTGGAAAAATCCTCCAGTTTTGGCTCCCACTTCAACAGCATTTCCTTAGTAAGTATATTTATAATAGGTAAAATAATTGCTTTTGTCTGGTTTCAAACCTTTATCAAAAGAATGGAAATATAATTAAAAAAATTATGTTGAGAGGTGATTCCTTGCTTACTTTATCTCCACATTTATCTAAGTATATTTATAATTGTCAGAGGCAAATGCGCTTTACTTTTTTTAGCTGTTTTTCTATTACTTTTCTTCATCTTTCTAAATAATGTGTACAAATTGCTTTGACTTCAGGATTTCATTCTAGTCAATATTTACAAACAACCTATTACGATGTTTAGCATTTTTCACATCCCTGTTAATTTCCTGATTTTCACTTAAGTTCATATTTGGTGTTTTCATGCTTTAGCTCTCTAAATATTGTCCATTGTTTAGTCAAATACTTTATCATGAATTCTCTGATGGTATAAGTTTTCTTTATTGGCCCTTTTCTGAATTTTATAATTATTTTCATTTTCCATAGAATATTCTTAGAAGATACATTTAATTTAACATCATCAAACCTTTTGGGCGATCTCTAGATATCTTTTTTTAAATTTATTTTATTTTCAGACATCCAATTTTTTTCTTCCATTATGCACTAGTTACTTTCTTCATCTGCATTAACTCTCACCTAGAAACTTCACTTTTATGTCACTGCACTTTCCTATATTAGAATCTCTGTCTCCTGGTCCAGTATTTTTGTCAGGGTATTCCCTGGCTTCTTGACTAACTCCTTCCAGTAGCTTCCTGATTTAGTTTCCATATTCTAGTTTCAAAGAATAGTTTTTTGCATTAGTTTGCCAAGTGTGGAGGTTGAAGTTGTCTGAAGGCTCATTTAGGCACTCATTTAACTGTAGTGTTGACTGCACACTGAGATCTTGGTCGAAAACATTATTTGTAGTTTCTTTATGGCTCAGGCTTCCTTACAGTGTGGCAGCTGGAGTCTAAGGGAAAGCATCTCATCAGGGGCAACAAGCCAAGGTGTATTACCTGTAATATAGGCCCAGATTCTTTTTGTAACATCTATTGCAAAATCCCTGCCAAGCTTAAACAGGAGAGGAAATAGACTTCAGCTCTTTTTGAGAGTGGTGACTGTCTCATGGAGCATATGGATCTAGAAACTGTGACCATTTTTGGAACATAAAATCTGCCACAGGTCATCTTTTGGGCACAAGAATACAAATGCAAACAAATATATTCACTACTTCTCTATACAGTATCAAGAATATGCATGATGTTTTACAGCTTTATAGACTCAGGCTCATGTTGGATGTCATGGATTTTAAGCACCTCAATCAGATTCAAGTACAGATAAGATGTTTCTTAAGTATAATACTTCTTGATCTGAAAAACAGGGAGTTAAAGAAATTATTTAGTTATCCCCTCTTACAGCTATTATAGAATAGGCCTAGGACACTGTAGTAGACTTTTCTACTAAAAAGGAAAAGATAGAAGGCACACAGAAGTCACCAGCCATAGCAGTTGTGATCCAAGTAAGCATATGTATTCTTTCTTTTTTTTTTTTTAAACTGGAAAACCTATTTTATCTGCAAACTTTCATCCTAAAGGTACATGCATTGCTGAATGAAGAATTAATTTACTCTGTAAATTTGTCCCCAATTCACAATAAAAAATTGAAAGTAAACAAATAAAACAAAACCAGAATGCTTCTTAGAAACAAAGATGATGAGTTCTCATCTTACTTACTTTGGACATTTTCTGGAGAATTCAGTCCCTGTAGAACATCATGATTGATAATGTATAAAGTTAGGGGGAAAGAAGCTCTTCATTTGGGTTGATCTGGTGGTTGCAACAGTAGGCTCATACATAGCAAACATTTTGAGAATAGCAATCATGAGGATAGTACAGGGCTGAGCAGTGCTTTGCTCTATTATGAATGGGGTTGCTCTCAGTCAATGCTGACTTTACTGCATCTAAAAAAAAATGATGCACAGAAAAATCATCTTCTGTAATCTTAATAGAAATTGTATTCTAGGTTATATACTCCTTTTACCTGTAGCACCTGCTATGACTGTAGTAACCTTGTGTATATCAAAATGAAACACCAACCCTGTGTCATCCTTCCAACTCCTTTTCTGCTTAAGTCAATTGCTGGAGTCACTATGTCAGTTCATTTCCTGGAGGGTATTTCTTTTTTTTTATTTTTTATTTAAATAGCATTCAGTTTATTACAAATATTTAATATTGGCTTCCCATATTTCCCCCTTTTGTTTTTATCATAATTATGTTATCA